TGGGAGTCTTGTAATTTATGTTCTTTTAGGGCCTTCCTTTCTAAGTTGTCACTGGAATGGGACACTTTAGCATCCCAAAGAGAAAATGTTTTCTTTCCCTCATCTTAATAGGAGGTGAAAAAGACAGAAACCAATCTCAATGCCAATATTAAGCAGGCAGATGATCTAAATTTCTGCATTTAGGGGATATCAGTAAATGTGGGGGGAAAAACAGGTCCCCAAAGGGATAATGATCAACAAAAACAACATTTATTAGCTACGCTATATATGTTGGCACTCAGGGACCACAGAGCAAGAATAAACGTGAAACCTCTTATTGTAGGTTCCACTTGAGGAGACAGGGCAGACACATAACGGATGAATTATAGTATAACTCCTGCTACCTTTCACTGAGCACTTGCTCTGTGTTAGGCTCTGTACTAAACCCTTAAAACGCATTCCATGTGCAGACAAAAGGAGCTCCAGGGTGCAGCAGGGAGAGTGTGCACCAAGAGCTAGGGCAATCTGGGAAGGCTCCATGGAGGAGGTTGGGCCTGATTGGGCCTTGGAGGATGCATAGGAGTTAGACCAAATGAGAGGAAAAAGGATACTGGAGAATGTTGCTTTGTTTGAGATTATTTTGGTGATGCGTGTTTCCAATTCCCCAAAGGCAGGGACTGGTGTGGCTGTTCCCCTCCCCCAATCCTCTGTGACCCTGATGTTTTTGAGATCAAGGGTAAGGATCAGGTTCTCAGACTCACCTAAGAAGGTGAGAGAGAAACAGTCTGCATCACAGTAGACCTTCCAAAAGGTAGGATTTGACCTGTGGAAGCAAAAGTGCAGTACAGTGCATGGTCTTTTGGAGAGGGAGGGATTGGAGTGTGGTTTTTGTAAAGAATCTCAAGTATTTTCTTGCAAACTTTTGTGATCTGTTCCTTTCACACATCTGATGAGAAGGTTCCAAATGATAATGTTTCAGTATAAGATGCTGGATTCTTCCTAACCTCACTCTTCCCCCAATGACAATAAATGTCACCTCTTAACTCAAATGATTATGACCCTAAAAGCCTATATTTCTGGGGAAATCTCCAATGTTTACTTCAAGTGAGAGTCTGAGAAGCTCAAGGCCCAGCTTCACACTCACAGTTCCTCCTGCCCTGTAAAAGCCCAAGGTTAAAGACAGTTCAATATTATTAGGAAACTATGCTTTATTTATGTTATTAACAGATCAAAGAGGAAAATCAAGTGGTCCTTTCTATAGATCTTGAAAAACATCTGATTTAAAAATCCATTTTGACTTACAAGCAAATAGCCTAAATAAGAATAAAAGCTATCTCCTTAACATATAAAACATCCCCAAAGCTATTTCGTACCAAAAGCTAACATCATGCTTCATGGAGAACAATACAAGAGTATACACTCATCATTATTGAACAACAGTCTGAAGATACAGGCCCAGTAGTTGGATAAGAGAAAGAAACAAGAGATTAAAAAAAAACAAACGAGGAAAAGAACAAATATTTATCATCTTCAAACCTGGAAAATGCATGAGAATCAACTGAAACCTCATTACAAATAATAAGATAATTCATCAAAAAACTTCCACACATTACATAACAATCAATTGAAAGATAAGAGGGAAGAGAAAATTCTATTTACAACTGCTAAAAAGAAAAAGAACTAGAAATAAACAATCAGAATTTGCAAGATCTATATGAAAGAAAAAAATCTCAAAATACTGCTGAGAAAACAAATGAAGACTTGAACAAGTTTCTAGAGCCCTGTTCTTGGATAGGAAGACTCAATGTCGTACATAATAATCACTAACATTTACTAAGCATTTACTAGGTTCCAGACACTCCTCTAAGCATTTTTACTATATAACTCATCAAAGATGTAAATTATCCCTAAATTAATCTGCAAATTTAACATGATTGAATTCCATACATAATGCATATACTACCTATTCAAAAATAAGATTTAATTTAAAAGGCTCAATTTAAGTAATCCAAGCTGACAACACTGAAAAATCATCCAAGATTCTTGAAGCTCTTGAGTTAGGAAGAGGGAGTGCCAGAAGCACGAGGTGAATCTTTGGCTTCTATCAGAAATTTTCTTTGCTCAAGCCTGAGACACTAGCCCCTTAGCACCTCAGTTTTCCCATAGGGTGATTTGCAACCTCAGTTTGCCCCCAGAAGGCTCCAGAGTAAGGCCAGAATCTCCACAAAGACTGGCTGACATACATAAAAAGCCCTACTAGGAAAATTCTTTTCCCAATTTTAGGTGTTGAAAGGACCACACAGGCCAGTTAGCGCAAGAGGGGAAGTGAAGTCTGTATGAACATTGATTAGATGATGGCTTTTTGGGTACCCTCTTCTCCAGATACGCCATCCCAGCCTCTCAGGGCTCCCTGATGCTGAGAAGCCCACACTTGAACAAAGCCTCCCAGAGGCAATTTCCTCCTTGGGGACTTTATTACACAATGATATCAAGCAAACTGAATGGGCCAAGACAGGTGGCAAAACAGAGTTCCTACCTGACAGGGCGCCCAGGAGAAGCAGGAAGAGGATGGCCTCCTGCATCTTTAGTTCACTTCTGTGCACCCTTCCAGCATGTAATCCAGGACCTGAAACCCGCCTTACACCCAGAGTCTATTCCAGGTGCCACTCACCTTCCCCTTCTGGTTTTGTTACCATGCGAGAAATCAAACAGAGGCTTTAGTGTCACTAAGGGAGACTCCAAACACCACAGGACTGTTTGTTCTTTGATTCCCCCCTTCTGTGACCGCATGGTACCAAGAGGCCAGCCAACCAGCCCTGGTCAGCTAGGAGTCCATCTTAAAAGTCCACACCCGGGCTTCCCTGGTGGCGCAGTGGTTGAGAGTCTGCCTGCCGATGCAGGGGACACGCGTTCGTGCCCCGGTCCGGGAAGATCCCACATGCTACGGAGTGGCTGGGCCTGTGAGCCATGGCCACTGAGCCTGCACGTCCGGAGCCTGTGCTCTGCAATGGGAGAGGCCACAACAGTGAGAGGCCGGCGTACCGCAAAAATGCATCTGTACAGAGAACCCCAGAATAAAAGTCAAAAGAGCAAAGAAAGAGTGGATGGTAAAAGCTGGACATAAACAGAGTCATCCATGATGGGCTCCCTGTCACCAGGCACGTTGTCATTCTCGGAAACAGGGGTAGGCAAGTAGGAATTTTTCTGCTGCCCTGAATTGATGAGTCAGACTCAGAGTTGGAGACTAAAGCACTCATTCCAAAGAGAGGAGCCAAAAAATAAAAATAAATAAAAATAAAATAAAGAGAGGAACCAAGGGCCAGACCCCTCCTCAAGGCAGATCTAAAACTGTAGACACTGCCCTTTGACTCCATCCACCGCCCCTCCAGCCCTCAAAGATGTCAGTGGAGGAAGATTTTGGAGGAAGCTCCTGCCCACTGCAGGGTGATGTGGCCTATCCCCTGGGGCCAGGTGTTGCCCTTTGCAGTGCTTTCATGCCTCATGCAGCCCTGTGCCAGGCTACAAGACCCGGTGAGTGAACCACAGCTCGAGTCCAGCCTCCACCCAGACAAGGAGCGGTGGCCGTGCAGAGGGAAGGTGGTGGGGAGCCCCTGCCCTCAACATAGTGCAGGAGGAAGACAGTGGACAGAGTGGAAGGAAGCAGGACTTGGACCCTCTCTCCTGCTCCTTTCACTCGAGAACTGCCTGCTGGGAGAGGGGTGCCCAGCAGCCCAAGGCTGGTGGCAGGGGATGGATGGGGGCATTGTTCCTCCCCACCAGGGACGTGAGCCGCGGGGAGACCCCCAGGTGCTCTGAAGAGCACGTGTGCCCCACTAGTGAACCAGCATTTGGATACACAGAGGTCACCCCTGGCTAGTTAGTCTGTATGAACCCAGAGAGCTACCACAACCAATGGAGGGAGACAGCAAGGAGGGCCAGCTAGGGAACCACGCTCATCCCCTTTCCTCTCCCTCCTTCCCACCTTCACCCCCAGGGCAAGGGAGCCGGACCACACCCCACGCCCAGGCGCCAAGGGTGCAGCAGGGGAGAGGCTGGAAATGAGAACTGAGTTTGAGATGGAAGCTGTGACTATCAAGGACGCTGACTAACTGAAAGTGACCAGGAAGCAAGCTATTAAGAAACAAGAAAGGGAGATGTAATAGAGGCAGATTAAAAACGATGACTGGAGGAAAAATAAAACCATTTCTGTTTATATGCCCCTGGATTGAAACTGCTAAATAAACTGGTTACAGCCCCTTCTGGGCACAAGGAAACTAAGGCTCGGAGAGGATGAGTAACTTGCCCATCATGTCCAAATCTTCATCGAGCCCCTTCTAGCCTCCACAGTGCCCCATGTAGCTTCTTTTTCCAGTTTGGCTGCCACCTCTCTGACTTAGGTCCTGGCCTCTGACCTGGACTGTCTCTGTAGCATCCGATGCATCCTACAGTCAACTGTCAGGTTAATTTCCCAAAAGGAAATTTTTCACTCATTTTTTTTTTCATTCATTTTTCCCTTAGGAAAAGTTGACTTTTCCTGTGTAAAACAGGAGTTAAGGGAGTTCCCTGGTGGCCTAGTGGTTAGGATTCCAGGCTTTCACCACCACGGCCCAGGTTCAATCCTGGGTTGGGGAACTGAGATCCCACAAGCTGTGCGGTGCAACCAAAACAAAAACAAAAACAGGAGTTAAGATTCAAAATGTCAGTCTGTATGTTTCTCTCTAAAATAGGTAAATGGCAAAAAAAAAAAAAGTTTTTGCTGTGTGACCTTAGGCAAATTACTTACCCTTTCAGAATCTCAGTTCCACTTCTATAAATCAGGGAGAATAATACCTGTGATGCAGTATTATTGCAAGCAGTCCATGAGCTAATGAAGTAAAAGAAACTGGCCCATAGTATATGCTATATTTTTCCTAACAGGACTGTAGTAAAGGCTGCAACATAGTAGGTAGTCAATAAACATGGGCTGAAAAAAAAGATGAATAAACAGTTAACAAGTTACCAATTCTCACCCCTCAGTTTTTCCTATCATATTAGTTACTGTAAGTAACCCATTTCATCATGCATAATTAAAGCTGAAGTGATGGCTTAGGTTAAGTTATGGAAGACGTCAGAATAATTAAGGCTTTGAATTAAAGAAATTCACGTCTGTTTAATTTTCAGCTTGACTGCACAACGTTCTTCATGTTGTCCTGTTTCTACCGTAAGGGGAATCTCCCCGTCCTTCCCCTCCCTGATCCAGAGATCTTAAGGGTCAGATTTTGGAATTTGTTGTAGGTTTTTTCTCCTGTGATTACAGCGTCTGTTTCCAGCCCTGAGGTTGTTTCTGCCATTATGATGTTCTGTTGTCCGTTTGTCAGCTCGAATCTCCTTCTGAAAGCCTGTGGTCCTGGCACCAAGGACCCAACTGGGCCAGAATCACACAGAGCCTGAACGGGACCCGGATGCCCCTTGCTGTCTTGTTCCTGACCTCTGAGATGCTGAATCCTGGTTCCACCCAGGTCTCAGCCAGGTGAGATGGATCAGGTAGCTGGAGGGCAGGGCCAGAATCTTTGGGACAGGCACCCCTCCAGCTTCACATGAAAGACCCGGGGAGTCTTCTCCCACATCAGCAATGGTTCAGGCCCTTAAAGTATTTAAAGGGACTTTCCTGGCATCCAGCTACTGCGTGTCTAATTTGCTAGCGCAGAAGTCATATTCCGAAGCTGTGTTAAGTTGGACCTTGGAACACGCCTAGCTACGGATGGACTGCTTGCAGCCTACCAACGCTTACGTTATCGATAATGTACTTGAAACACGACAGACTTAAGATGAGAAGAAGAAGCATTGCTGTGAATGTTCCAGAGTCCAGCTCCTTCAGCAGGTCCGTGGGCAGTGAGGGGAGGGCCAACAAACCCAGCCATCTTTATATCTGTGGGGAAGCTCTGTCCATGGTCCCTGTTCATCCAGTACTGGAACCATGGGCTTCTAGGATCCAAACCCTAGGATGGGACACCCGGGTCGCACCACTCAAGCACCCCTACATTGCAGGCCCGCCTTGGGCAGAAAGCACTCAGGGCCCGGCTCACCCTCCCAGCGGCAGCAGCCACATTGATGGCATGAAGCTTCTTGCAGCTCTCTACAGTGGCTCCCCTGTGGGCCGCTGGACCAGCACGCACATGGCTTTAGCACCCCACTCCCATGGTTCTCCCACATATTTGTCTCCAGCCAGTCTTGGCAAGGCTTTCCAGGCCAGAGAAGCTCATATTCATTGCATCCTGGTTGCTTCACGTGTAACACTGAGCAAAATATTGCGAACTTACTAAATTTACTTTCCACTCCCTTGCCCTGTGCCACTCTCCCCCCCACCCAGAACACCCAACCAGTGAGAGACCCTCCGCTCTTTCAGAGAAGGAAATAAAGTTCCACAGCCTTCCTCCCTTCCGGAACCTCAGGAACACTCACTCCCTGACTGGTCCTGAACATCCCCAGATGGGGTCCTCTGAAGCCAAGGCCCTGTAGGAGAGGAAAAATAATTTCCCTCTGCCCTTCTAAGTCCTTAGCTGAGACCCCTGTAATAAAAGACAGATTAACAAGAGAAGTTTTAACATGTATACCTCATGGATACATGGGAGATAGCCAGGGGAAAGTGAGTGAATCCCACGGTGGCTTAGAATTCAGGTTTAAACACCATCTTGATAGGGGAAGGGGAAGGGGGATGTACATGATCTTAGGGGAGAGAAAGTGATTTTTAGGAAAGATGAAAGGGCCCTTAGAAGAATAGAGAGGAGGTGTGATTGTTCGTGACAGAGTTTGTCTGGATGTGGTGTCCACCTCCAGGCAAAAATCAGTTTCTCTTTTCTATTTGCATTTCCCTTCTCATGAGTAGAGTTGAGCATCTTTCCCCAATATTAAGGAATCAATACTGTTTTCTTTTCTGTGGCTTTTCTGTTCATTTCTACCATTTTTCTATTGGATTTTTGGTACATTTCTTGCTGGCTTGTGGGAAGTCTTGATATGTTAAGGAAATTAACACTTTGTCTGTAATAGGCATTGCAGATATTTTCCCAGCTTATCATTTTATTTTTGACTTTGTTTATAGGAATTTTGGCCATGTAAAAAATTTTTAATTCTTATATAGTCAAATTTATCATCTTGTATTCCATGGCTAAGTAGCATACAAAACCTTCTCTCTGAGATAATTTTTTAAATTTCATATTTTCTTCTAGTACTTTGCTATGGTCTGGATGTTTGTAGCTCCCTAAAATTCATATGTTGACATCCCAATGTGATGGTATTAGGAGATGGCACCTTTGGGAGTTGATTAGGTCATGAAGATGGAGCTCCCATGGAAAGCATTAGTGCCCTTATAAATGAGACACCACAGAGGCCCCAGAGAGCTAGCTCCCCATCCACCATGTGAAGATGCAATGGGAAAAGGGTTCTCACCTGACCATTGCTGACATCCTGATCTCAGACTTTCAGCCTTCAGAACTGTGAGAAATAAATGTCTGTTTTTTATAAGCCACCCGGTTTGTGGCATTTTGTTATAGCAGCCTGATTGGACTAAAACATACTTTTATGATTTTATTTCCAATGGGGGCCT